TTTTTTAAGATATAAGCTCATCCTGATGTTACGCTCATCGAAACCTTTTATTTGAATACACACACGATTTTTTTCATATATTTCATATATATGATATTTTTCATATATGTGGAATATATACTTAAAATATATATCAAAATGCATGTGGGTACTCAAATGAAAGCTCTTGATGAGTGTAACACCAGGATGAGCTTATATCGTTAAAAATATCATCAGTGGACAAAATACAACGTCATTTCTTAATTATTGAAATTTTTTAAGTTATAAGCTCATCCTGATGTTAAGCTCATTGAGACCTTTCATTTGAGTACCCACATCAATTTTTTCATATATTTTATATATATGATATTCCTTATATTTGTAGAATATATATAAATATATGAAAAATTGATGTGGGTATTCAAATGAAAGCTCTCGATGAGCATAACATCAGGATGAGCTTATATCGTTAAAAATATCATCAGTAGACAAAATACAAAATCATTTCTTAGTTTAGTAACTCTTTTTATTAAAATAAAAATTTTAATTAAAGATGGGTTTCTTATGGTCGTGGAATCACATGGTTAGCAGAAAATGGAAAACAGTATCAACTTCAGCCGGCGACGAGGTATTCCAAAAGAAAATAATCCAAGATTTTAAACATTTTTGTTCAAACGGTGATAATAGATTAAGTCTTTTTTGGGAGTCGTGCTGGGAGTTGAAAGAAAAAATGTTTACCAGAACTTTTAAAAATTGATCTAATCTAATATTAGAAAATTGTAAGTAAAATGTTGACTATTTTTCCAAGTTGATAAATAATAAATCAAATAATTAATTAAAAATGATTTATTTATATTAAATTATAAACACTCAAAAGCTTATCAATAATCATTAAATAAAAAATTAATATCAAGTGCAACCATAAAAAATAATTCCTAATTACTACTTAAGTAAAAAGGCAATCCAAGGCTTAGAATAATTTTCTTAATAAAAAAAAAATATATATTTAATAAATTATATAGTTAATAATTGAGATTACTCATTAAAACTTTTATTTTTTAGATAAAGAATTAAATGTTATTATTATGAGGCGGTGTGGCAAAATATTTTCTATTTTTCCTCAAGAATGTCCGACTGGAAGCCAGAGGAGTGTTGAAGAACCCTCTAGTGGCGGTGCGCTTCAACAGAGACTCTGTGGAAGGTGTGTGCTTGAGTTCCCCGGCTTGGGGAGTCCCGATGTCGTTGATACAGTCGGGGTTTACGAAATTCGCCCAGTAGTCTGAGGGAATTTTTAACAAGCTCTCAACAATCGCAGCCTGGGTCTTCGTTTCCGAGAGCATTGACGACGCAGATGGCTCCTGGGAGCTGTAGCCAACTAAGGTAGGTCCAAACACCTTGGCCAAGTTGCTGATCGGCATTTTGCACTCCGGTGTGGATGACACGCGCTGCAGGTGGAGTACTAAGAAGGCTAGGGTGTCACGGTTCGGCTGTGGAAGCTCGGAGATTGCTTGGTACAGCGCTGCGTCTGCATCCTGCTTGTCTGATATTGTTGTCGCGCGGACAAAGTCCGCCCAGAGACCCACTGTTATCAGTGGCTCACGCAATGACCTAAAGATATTTTATTATTAATTTTAATTAGAAAAAAAAATTATTATTTTTGATTAATTTAATTGAAAATAATTTTATGAATTGAATAAAAAATTTTTTTTTTATGTTTTTTCATTAATTTAATAAAAAAAAATTTTATTACTATTTTTAATTAATTAATTAGAAATTTTTTTTGATTAATTTAGTAAAAAAAAATTATTTTTAATTAATTCAATTTTTAAAAAAATTTTATTACTAGCTTTAATTAATTATTAAAAAAAATTTTTTTTTAATTTCAATTACAAAATAATTTTATTAATTTAATAAAAAAAAATTTTTATTTTGGATTAATTTTATTAAAAAAAAAATTTTTTTTTTATTTTTGATTAATTTAATTTTTATTGCAATTTTTTAATTAAAAAAAAATTTATTTTTATATTTTTTGATTAATTATTTGAAAAATAATTTTATTAATTTAAAAAAAAAAATTTTTTTTTTATCATTATTTTTGATTAATTTAATAAAAAAAGAAAAAAAATTTAATAAAGGTAAAATTGTGTTACCTTAAAAAGTCTTTGAGAGTAGAACAAATAGTTGCAACTTCTATTTCTGATAAGTTAGGAACTCCTTTGTTCTTCAAGAATTTTTCTTTTAAACATTTTTTGTTAATATATATATATATATATATATATATATATATATATATATATATATATATATATATATATATATATATATATATATATATATATATATATATATATATATATATATATATATATATATATATATATATATATATATATATATATATATATATATATATATATATATATATATATATATATATATATATATATATTTTTTATCATTATTTTTGATTAATTTAATAAAAAAAGAAAAAAAATTTAATAAAGGTAAAATTGTGTTACCTTAAAAAGTCTTTGAGAGTAGAACAAATAGTTGCAACTTCTATTTCTGATAAGTTAGGAACTCCTTTGTTCTTCAAGAATTTTTCTTTTAAACATTTTACATCGCTAGCTCCACCGTTGACACGGTATAATCCTGGTTCATTCATTCCACGTAATTCAACTTCATTTATACAATGAACAACGATTGATGGTACCATTGGTGGTATCATTGGCGTGTAATCAGCAATTGTACCCTTAAAAATAAAAAAAATTTTATTTAATCATTAGAGTACATGATTTTATCAAATTTTTTGAGTATTTAGTTTAAAATTAATGCTATACATAATTAAAAAATGACTTTGTATCTCGTGAACTACTGACTTTTTTAAAGATATAAGCTCATCCCGACATTACACTCATCAAGACTTTTCATTTGAGTACCCACATGCACTTTTCATATATTTTATATATTTATATATATTACATATATGTATATATGAAAAATATATCAAAAATGCATGTAGGTACTCAAATGAAAGCTCTTGATGAGTGTAACATCACAATGAGCTTACATCTTCAAAAATATCAATAATTAAGAAATGACCTTATATATTATTAACTATTGATTTTTTTTAAGATATAAGCTCATCCCGACATTACACTCATCAAGACCTTTCATTTAAGTACCCACATGCATTTTGATATATTTTTCATATATACATATATAATATATATATAAATATATGCAAAATTGATGTGGGTACTCAAATGAAAGCTCTTGATGAGTGTAACATCAGGATGAGCTTATATTTTAAAAAATATCAATTATTAAGAAATGACCTTGTATCTTGTCAACTAGTAACATTTTTAAAGATATAAGCTCATCCCGACATTACACTCATCAAGACCTTTCATTTGACTACCCACATGCACTTTTCATATATTTCATATATTTATATATATTACATATATGTATATATGAAAAATATATCAAAAATGCATGTGGGTACTCAAATGGAAGCTCTCGACGCGTGTAACATCATAATGAGCTTATATCTTAAAAAACCTCAATTTTTAAAAAAGTACAGTTCAATTTCCCCAAAAAAACTTACCGTGACTCCACGAAGCGTAGGCGTATTCCCAACAGGAATACAAGGCAGTGGCACCAAATCCTTGCACTCAGAATGAGTCACAGCCCTACAATCCCTACACTTGAGCGCCAATTTTCCAAACTTGATCCTGTTGCCACAAGGCGAGCATACCTCAGACTTAATAACAGTCTTCCCTGCAAAACTATGAGCCCTCATCGACTTAGTATTAAAAGTATACCCTCCAATATTAGGACTGGGTTTAAAAACATTTTCATTATCACTCCCGGAGGTGAAATTATCCGCCAAGGGCGCTGAAGGCTTAGTGTCATCATCAGCGTCATAAAAATCCTTCTTGGACTTGCGATCGACACTCTTGCGCCTCTTTCTTGACCTCTGAAGCTCATTCGGGTCTCGGTTCTCGTCTCCAGTGATCGCTTCGATCACTGAAGAAGCAGTGACTGCTCCTTCTTTGGGCACCACCACAGTAGTAGTCGCAATAATTCTGTCAGAATTATTTAAATCGACGACTTTATTAACCGTGCTCTTCCTCTTCCTTCCGTTTAGATACTCTCCACTGGGTCTGTGCTCTTTCCAGTCCCGCTTATTATAATTCTGGTTCAATAGCATGCTTGCGTCCAAATCATCTTCTGACTTTGAGTAGCAGCTCAGGTCGCTTAAAATAGACCCTGTAGAGTCCAGCTCAGCAATTGTGTTCAGCTTGTCGTTGTGGTAGTCCTTAGAATTGGTAGTCCCGCTGTGCCGCCCGTTGGTCAAAGTTGTGTTGTTCAAAAATTGCAATTTTTCGCGAGTCTCGTCGTTTAAATTTCTACCCCCGTCGTTGAAAAGTAAATCTCTCACCATTGCAATTTGACGCTCTAAAGAATTTCTTTGCTCCTCTGCGGCTCGTCGGCGGCGCTTTTCTTCGTCCAGCAAACGACGAGCGTGGGATAATTTGCGCTCCAGGTCTGTTGACTCGTGGCGAGATTTTTCTAATGCACAGTGCAAGCGTTGGCATTCTACAACTGCTGACAGCCATTTTTGACGCGTTTCTTCTTGGTTTAACGCGAATTGCAAAAATTCTGGAAATTTTAGATTAAAATTTAATATTTGAGTAGGAATAATTTTTTTTTTTTTATTGAAATTAAGACAGATAATTTTTTAAAAATGATTTTAAATTAAAAACTCTTAAATAAATTATTAAAAATTATTTTGAATTAAAAAAAAAGTCATAAATATTTTTTTTTTTTTTTTAAATTAAAAACACTTATATAAATTTTTAAAAATAATTTTGAGTGAAAAATAAGACAAATAATTCTTTTCTAATTATTTCAAATTAAAAATACATAAATAAATTTTTTTTTTATTCTTTAAAATAAAAAATAAGGCATAATTAATTTTTTAAAAATTATTTTTTGGTTAAAAATCCTTAAGTTAATTTTTAAAAATTATTTTGAATTCAAACAAAGTCATGAATAATTTTTTTTTTATTATTTTAAATTAAAAACACTTGAATAAATTTTTTAAAATTATTTTGAGTGAAAAATAAGACAAATAATTTTTTAAAAATTATTATGATACTTGACAATTTTTTTTTTTTTTTAAATAAATTAGGTCTAGATAATTATTTTTTAATAATTAAATTCACAATTTTTTTAATCTCTCAAAAAGATGATTTTTTGAATAAATTTTTCTTGTTATAATTTAATTGTTAAAAAAATAGTATAAAAATGATCAAATGTCTTTAAATTTCAGCATCATAAATTATTTAGACTATTTGTAAATTTTCTAAATAAATTTTTTTCTAAATCAAAAATTCATAAATGAATTTTAAAAAATTATTATAGCATTCAAAATAATATACAAATAATTATTAAGGTACTGAAATTAGCAGATACTTGACAATTTTTTTTAATTATTCCTAAAAGACAAGTTAAGTTTTGCAAATTAATTTTTTAAAAATTACATTTATAATTTTTTTGAGCTTCTAAAATCTAAATTTTTAAAATAAATTTTTCTTGTTATAATTTAATTGTTAAAAAAATTATAAAAATGACCAGATGTCTCTAAATTTCAGCATCAAAAATTATTTAGAGTAATTATAAATTTTTTTCCAAGTTAAAAATAGAAAAATGAATTTTAAAAAATTATTTTTAATCAAAAATAAGACTTGAATAATTTTTTTTAAATTATTTTGAATTAATAATAAATAAATTTGTTTTAATTATTATAAAATGAAAAATAATTAAAAAAAAAATTATTAAGGTTCTCAAATTAGGAGATACTTGACAATTTTTTTTATTTTGCTTAAAAAATGAATCAAGTCCATCAAATTATTTTTTAAAAATTACATTTACAATTTTTTTGAGCTTCTAAAAATAAAATTCTTGTAAGAAATATTTTTAGAATAATTTAATTGCTAAAATAATTATAAAAATTACCAGATGTCTTAAAAATTAAGCATCATAAATTATTCAGACTAATAGCAAATTTTCTAAATAATTTTTTTTTTCCAAATTAAAATTTAATACATTAACCATGTGCTCAAATTTAAATTAATTTCATCTATTGAATTTAAATAACAAAATAAAATAAAAAATTCACACATTGAAAATTTATTTTCAATAATTAAATATCGTGTGTAAAAACTAACCTTCTTCGCAAGATCCATTGACGAGAACATTAGTACACCGTACGAGCTCATCATGGCTCGCTAATATTGACAACGAACTCATTTTTATTTCTATACTAGACATTAAATAACAAACGCAATTATTAAACACTACATTTAACCGTCCGACCAAAATATTTATCAAGCCGACATTTTTGCCGTTTACTCGTTGAAAAACTGTTATATATACTGCGGTGAGGCGTCCTTCAAGACTCTGCTGTCATTGGTTAGCTTCAGACTGTTGAGATTTAAAACTAACCAATTAAAATTTTAGATTTATAGTGTGGCGCCACCTGGCGGGAATTTGGAGAAGGAAAAAAAGGGTGCGCCGCGGGAAAGACGCTGGAGGCGCTTTTGCTGGTGTAATGGCGGACTTTGCTGCCGACCTTCGACGAAGTAGGAAGTATTTTTTTTCTAAATGATAATAATTTAATTAAAAAACATTTGACAATTTTTTTAATTAATAAATTATAACAAAATAAATTCTACAATTAGAAGTTGTAGAAAATTATAAGTATAATTTTTTAAAAGTAATTTTTTCGATCGAAATTATTTATCAAATAAAATAGTCGAGTGTTTGCTAATTTAACTGTCATTTTTTCTAAACGTATTATAAATATAATACTAACGTTAGTCGACGATTTTAATTTATTTTTTATTTATTAAATCAGAATTGAAGAATATTTTTTAAAAATTGCGCTTATAATTTTTTCATATAAGTTTTTTTTCAAATGAAAATTTTTAAATGTCGACTTAATTTTCATTAATGATTTTATAATAATTAATTTAGCAGATATTTCATTATTTTAAGAATTTTTTTAACAAATAAATTATGTCAGAGAAAATGAGAAAAAAAGTTGACATTTAGACAATTAATTATTAAAAAAATATCAAACAATGGACTCTGCTAACTTTATTGTTATAATATGATTTTCGGTACTAAAAAAATTTTTTTTTTCAGTGATTATAAATTAAAAAATAATATGTTATTAGTAAGCAATAAATTTTTTTATTTTATTAAAAAGTGAATAAATAAAAAAAGTTTTTAGTTTGTGAAAAGTTATATAATTGATAAAATGTGAATGAGTGCTTTAATTTTCGACCAATAAACGCGCCGCGCAATTTCGAACTCAAAGTGAAGTAACTGATTATGTATCAGTTGTTGGTTTTTGTTCGGCTGTTGGTTATAGTGAAATGTTGCTAGTTACCATTAATATTTTAAAGTGTAAATTAAAATGTGTATAGATAATTTAGAAACCGAAAAATTAAATAAAATTTATTCGTGAAAATTGTTTTGTGAAAATAAAATTGTGAAAAAACTGAAAAAACTACTTTCTCTTGCTGTGATTGGTGAAGAGATGGCGGCTGTATGATTCTCTGGAAGGTGCTGCCATTTTTATTCTACGTCTATTTCAAGCTGCAAAGTGAGTAATTTGATGAATATTAAATATCTTTAGTAACTTAAAAATGTATTTATTTTTATTACATTGTCTCAACAAAATTTTTTTTCAAAGTTTTCTTTTTTATTTTTATAAAGATAAACAAAAAAATTCTACAATGATTAGAAACCGTTAAAAATGATTAATAATTGTTTAATAATTACTAAAAAATGATCTAAAAATCACCAACAATAGTCTTATAATTCCTAAAAATTATTTAAAGATCAATAATGGTTTTTTAATAATTAGAAAAAATTATCTGAAAATCAGCAATAGAATAATATTTTTTCGGTTCTAATTCAATCGATGAAAAAAAAAAAAAATTAAAAAATTGTTAAACGTCTGCACAATTCTTCTAACAATTTATAATTTCTCTACACTGAAAAAAAAATTAAGTTGGCTAGAGAAAAATTCTTAAGCCAAGAAAATAATTTTGAATCGTTCCATTGCCTAGAATCAAGAAAAAAATTCTTAAACCAAGAAAAATTCATCAGATTAATGATTTTTAAACTCAAATCAAAAAGATCAAGCTCTTAAAAATAATTTTTTTAGTTTAAGAATTATTCAAGTTAATTTTTTTTCAGTGAACCCCACTTTGCCCTGTATTTGGCCATAGAAAAAATTTTTTTTTTTCAAACTGTTCGTTTTTTTTATGTATTTTTCAAAACAAAACAATATAGGGTAAATGCACCAGTTGTTGACCGGTCACCAATTAGTTGACCGATGTATAAAAAAGTTAATTAATTAATATTTTACAAGGGTTTTTTTTTTCTTAAAGGATTAAAATAAAAAAATATGGCATTTAATCATCATAATAAAAAATTACGCAATTAATTGCGCAGTGAATATAGCTTCAAAAAAATATTCTGAGTTTGTTTACAACGCAACCAGCCATAAAGCGGTCTAAAATAACTAGCGTACAATTGGAGAGTGAGTGCATTTCATCATTAATTTGGTGATATTTATCGGCATAATATAAAATATTTTAGTTTTATTATGTTAATTAAAGATCAGATTCCAACTTTTTTGAAAAAATAAAGTTAAATTATAAGTTTTAATATTATTTTAAGACCGGTCAACTATTGGATCCGTCAGAAACCCTTTATCCAGTAAAAAATTCATTCGGTCATTTATTAGACCCTCTGATTTTATCAAAATCCAATTAATCACCGTATATTTATAATACTAACTTCTTAACATCAAAATTAAATCTGTCAAGTGTTTAAAGTACTTTAGTCATTAAATATTTTGTAAATATAAAAATAATCATTATAAAATGTATATTTACAATTAAAATAATACTTAAAATCTTTTTTGATTATTAAATTTTATTTTGTTGTAATTTTTTTAGTGAACGGTTATATCAAAGAACGAATTATTAGAAGAAAAAATTGCTAAGCAATTAAAAAAATAAAAAAGAGTTACAAGCTAGTAAAAAAGCTTTAATTGAAAAAAAGAAGGAAAAGAATAAAAAAAATTTCAAGTTAATCAGAAGAATTATCGTCATTAAAATGAATTTGTGATTATTTGTGACCTAAAGAAATGTGACTTTATGTTAATTATTGCTATTATTTATATTATTTTATAAAAAAGTACGATTTAAAATTATATTGTATGTTTAGTTTTGTTAAAGATGTCGTTAATACTACAAAAGTACTGCATAAATTTAATTACATACATGTAGTTTACAAAATTACTTATAATTATTTGAGCGGTCAATTAATTGGAGAACGGTCGGTCATTTATTGGGTTTATTCGGTCAATAATTAGTGATTTTAGTATTTCAATAACATTCAAATAACAAAATTAATATAGTTTTGTTAATTTTTATTATAAATAGTTATTAATTATTATTAATTAAGTATTTAACTTTAATAAAATCCATTATAAATTGGTTTTAGTAGGTTAATAGATTTTTTATAGCTTAGTACAGAAAAAAAAAACCTTAATCGGTCAATAATTGGTGCATTTACCCTATATCAAAAACATCAAAAAAAGATAAAATAGAAATTTTATCGAAAAACATCAAAGCCAATATTTTTTCCAACTTTTAAAACAGGGTTGACTGCACTTGTAAGTAATTACCAAATTTATTAAAAATTCCCAGCAGTAGAGGCGCTAAAACTCGTCTTAGTAGGCGCCAGAATCTCAATCCAAAATTATTATGTTTGAAAATACAAAATCTACAAAAGAACAAATATTTGAAATTACAATTATCCAAAAATAAATTTATTTAAGAGTAATTTTATTTAAAAGAATAAAACAGGTTAAAATTTGTTAATAAAATCTAGTTGAAACAAACTATAATAAAAGAGCATTCTATGCAAATAACAAATTATTCGAAACTTTATCAGTACCTAACTATAGTTATTAACTAACTATAATAAACTTTCGAATAATTTATTATTTGTTTTTGTGCTCCTTGACTAGTCTTGTTTTCAAATAGATTTCATTGAATAATTTTGAGGTGTCTTATATTATTATATTTGTTTCATTAAAATTTCTTTTAAATATTTTTACTTTCGAATCATTATTATTTAGGACATTTATTATTTTCTAGATTCCAAATTTTTGAATGAAAATATTCTACAATTAAATAACTACAAAATTAAAAATTAATTCTACGCGCCTTTTTAATCCATCAAAGGCGCTGAATGTCTCATCTTAAGTACTTCCATCTTACATTAACGTCCTAACCTATTAAGTCCCAAATAAAACCCTTACCGGGTTTGACGGCCATAAAACGACAACTTTGTAACAAAACGGCCCATTAAAATATCCTTTCAAATGCATTGGCTCACCAAATAATACAATACTTAGCAGAACTATCGTTTTAACTGTACCAACTAACATAAATCTCCATGAATGCTCTTCGCACTATATAGACGCCATTAAATATGTCCATCTTGCCTTATATTAAAATAAGGCTCTAACCGACGGCCATTAAAAATCTAAAATAATATAAGAGTACTAAGTAACAAATCGTTACTACTTTGCACTTTATATCTCGCATTAAAAAATTTTTTATTGCATTTTGTATTTATATTCCACAAAAGGATGCTTTGTATTTATTTTCTCTGAATTGTTAATATTTTATTATCCATTACAAAGTATTACTTTGTCGTTTATTGCGTATAGGGCCAAAAGAATTTAATTTAAAAAAATTATTTTAACGATCGGATTAATTTTGTTCAAAATTTTATTACAGTCGAGATTGTAAAATAAATTATTATTATTATTATTAATCTTTAAGAAATTACTCACATCTGTCGGCTTAAGATTTTATTGCGAAAAAATTTTATAGATCAAGTTTCAAGTTAATTATTTTAGAAATGCGCTTTATGAATTTGTCGTGATTAATATTATTTTTATTTATTATATTTACTAACTGATTTTATTAAGATCAACTCGTGAGAAATTATATTTTTTTTATTTATTCTCAGAGAAAGTTGGTCAGCTTTTATGAAAACCAGCGAGCCAAGTTGAACCCCTTGTATAAAGGTTTGAAATAAAAAGATTACGATTCGGATCTTTTGTTCGGTTGTAAGAATTCTGGAAACCTGGAGTTTTTATTTTATTTTTTTGTTAGTTTCGATGTATTGCTCCCCTTTCGATTGACAAAGTGGGTGATGTAAAAAATTTTATTCTACTTTTTACAAAGAAAGGATTGAGTTTTGTATTAAATACGGTTTATTGATAGAAAAATTCTGAGTAAAGGAAAGGATGTTGTTTTTTTGGTTGAAATTTTTTAAAAAAGGTATTTTTTAAGATTTAAAATTTT